TGATAATTTCTAAAAGTTCATCTTTAAATATTTGAATTCGTGAAACTAATTGATTAAAATCAATAAATTCTGGATATTCCTTTAATAAACCATTTGGAATGATATGTAACTCAGTACAATGCATAACACAAAATGAATAACGATCATATTCTGTGATAGGGTTGTTTTGCAAGGATAATAATTTGATTTGTAGTTTTCTGATAAAATATTAGGTAATTCCTTATCAAAATATGGACACGAATTTTCATGTACTGCCACATTATTATACTGAGATTCAACATTATCGTAAATTATTGGTGGTTGAGAAAAATTTTGAAAACCACAATTATCTGTAATAGCCACGTTATTTGTTGATTATTTACATCTAAAATAAATTATTATTATTATTATTCATAAATTTAATAAAATTTACCGAATGAATTATAATTTTGTTTAATATTATGAGTACGTTTAATTTTCCTCTGCTGTATCGAAAAAGTATCACTTGATAATTTTTTGTATGGATTAAATCTATTAGGCTTTCTTGGTTTAGAAGATAATTTTGGTGGTGCTCCTATTTTTGACCTTGATTTATCATTTAATTCAAGTGGTCTAAATGGATCTTTAATATTTGAATTACACAATTTGTTGTATAAAAAATTTTATTTCCTATTAAAATAAAGATTAATTTAATTTAATATTCTTAATCATTATTAAATTAATATAATACATTACCATGAATTCTATATAATCAAACTATTTCTTGAAAAGAATTTTCTATTGTATCTTGATAAATGATGTTATTTTTGGCAGATGAAGAAACAACCTATTCTTTATTTTGAAAATATTGAACTAATTTGTACTTTGTTTTATCCATAACATTTATAAATTCTTTTTCTATTGCATTTTTGAATAAAGTGGCTGCATAATAATATCTGCACTTATCTCGTAAAGAATCATTCCAAATGTACTCCCAACATACACATTCTTCAGTACTAATATTGCATAAATAGAATTTAGAATTAAATTCTATATTTTCTAATAATAAGGGTTTTAAAAGAAGATCAGCTATATTTTTAAGTTTACTTATAATTTGATCATTCACATTCACGGGTTTGTAATCATAAAAGGATATAAATAGTTCCTTATATAATTTTTTAATAAAAAAATATTTGAAACAGATGTTTTTTATACTAAACCAAAAAGAAAATCCAATTTTTTTTGGTTTAATCTTTGCAATTTATCTGAGCATAAATATGATTCAGTATTCTAAATAATATATAATAAATTAAATAAATTAGTTTACTAAATAAGTTATTAATAATTTAAATAATAATAATTACCTCTTGTTCAATAGCTTGTATATTAAATAATGTAACTAAATCAGATTCAAATATATTTAATCTACTATTATCCATAATAGTATTACTTTGAAATTTTACAGTATACATGCATTCAATAAATTATAATGGTGTTTGTTTACCACTATATACTGTTTCTATTATTCTATTTATTCATTCAGTAAAATTATTTGTGATCCAAGGTAAATAATTTGTTAAATTATTAGAGATTAGGATGCGTTCTGCATCAATAAAACTTAGTTTCCATTCAGAACACATCCAGTTATTTGACATATCATCAATAATTTTTTTTTGTTTTATTTTTTCAATAGGTAATGAATTTATAAATTCATTAAATAATTCAACCATTTTAATAGCAGCTGTTTCAGTTCGACAATGCCTTACAAATTTAAAAGCTAATACAATTGGATATCTAAGTAAAAATAAAAAATAAAATAAGATTACTAGTAATTATTATATAATAATTAAATGATTTACCAGAATTGAACAGGTATATGCCAACTATTAAGATTTTTTCCATAAGTTTTCATTATGTAAAACTAATATAAAATAGGTCTACGTAATATATTTTAAATTGCTAATTTTGATGGTTTATATTTGTCAATCATTGCATATCAGTCAGCGGACATTTCAGTTCACATAGCGATCATTAATTAAAAAATTGGTGTAACTATAGATAACCAAAATGTACATCTAATGCAATATTAATTTTTTAAGTAACATGCTTACGAATCTTAATACAATTATTTTTTAAGACTTCACCTACACGCTTCAATTCTTTTTTTTATAATATAATACTTTTACAAAAAACTGTTATTAGACTGACTTTTCCTATTATTTTAACTTTAATTCCCAGATGTAAGTTTATTTAAAGACTAAATATTATTTTAAATTACCAATTATGTGTAATTTTTTACATGCAATCAAAATATTTAGACTCAAGAAGATAGTTAGATTAATATTTTTTCAAGAAATCAGAAGTTTTTATTTTATTATATAATTAAGTGATATTTTATTGTCCTATTATTTATTTATTTTTATGATAATTCTACCAATTTCATACTTTTTTTATAGTCCAAATCTCTGACAATTGCTCATAAGCAGAAGCAATAGCATTATCTGGAAGTTTATTCTTGTAAGTTTTTAATGGAAAAAGTATTACCATTTCATCTTTTGTAGTTCGATGTTTACTACCTGTTGTATTTTTTTATTTTAGAGGCTGTATTTTATTAGAGTTTTCTACTGATTTTTTTTGTGCTAATTGTGTAAATTCAGCAGTCCTTCCTCTTTTTTCAGCTTCGCTCCTTGCTTTTCTTTGGTCTTTATAATCTTTTAATTTTGTTTTAATAACCCTCACTACTCTTCTACCCTGTGAATTTTTATGTTCTATTTTTAAAACTTCTTGACAATATACTCCTTTTATTTATTCTAATTCATTTGAATAGCATACAATTAGACGGTCAAGACCCTCTTGATATATTTCTATTGGCATATATTCTTGAAATAATTGGTGAGATAAGAGGTCATCTATTCTAAAAATCACTACAAGTTCATTAATTAGATTCTATAATGATTCTTGGTGTAAGTCAAACAGCCTATTGGCTATACAAAGTTGAATAATTATTGTTATATTCATTAATTAATAAATCTACTCTATCTCTTTCATTTTGAGAGGATTTTATCTGGTTTTTAAGATTTTTTTCATCAATTACATTTTCACTAATATTTTCAAAGCCTCATCAAAATCAAAACATATATGGCGTGTACTCTCAGGATTTTCATCAATATCATAGGGTATCTTAAAAGCATCACAATAATGCAATCTCTCTTTTAATTCAGGATGGACTTCTATAGTGATGAGAAAATGAGCTATAGCTGTTGTATAATTTGATTTGGTAGCACTTAGAGTTCCGAATGAGTTGAGTCGAGTCGAGTTTAAAGACCAACTCTATTCGACTCATTTTTTTCAAGTCGAGTCGAGTCAAATTTATTTTATAA